ATTTTAATTGTAGATTTAGTTACTCACACAATTTAGAATAATTATACTTGTATTTTAATCTCCTAATTTAATTAGATACAAGTTAATTAATATTAATTTAGAATTAATTATTAAAAACAGCAATGCCTCTCATAGTGCGGATAATCACCAGTGTCCCTCACTGTTTGAAACCGGACTAATCGAGTACTTTAAAACCATACATAAAGGAATAAAAAAACTGAACATTTTTCATACTGTACTATAGTGAATATAAAAAATATGAATATAGTTTGGGGAAAACTGAGGCAAAAAATAATAAAAAGTAAATAATTTTGTATCCCAATTTTTTAGAATTTAAAATTCAGTTTGTTTAGAAATTTACAAACAGTATTGTAGCGCGGATTCAGCTGATCGAAACCGGACTATACGAGATATTGCTATTTCTTGTGTTATTGTTGATCTAATGAGAAATAATTCATAATCTTCATTCTTATTCTATATAAAAAAAGGTAAATAACTTTGTGAGAACTTTAAGGAAAATTCAAAATAATCAATAAGAGTTTTAAGTTATTTAAATTGTTGTATAAAATAAACATAATTAAGTCTTCTATTAATTAGTTTAATAGGTTTAAAAATATAATAATTTGTACAATATATATGAATATTTTATGAAAACTCAGGGAAATCAAATAGAAAATTATTTAAAAATACAAAAAAAAATTGTATACTAACTTTTAAGAATTTAAAATTTAGTTGTGTGTTTTTTTTCGAAATTTACAAACAGTACTGTAGTGCATCCGCGCTGATCTAAACCGGACTGTGCGAGATATTGCTATTTCTTGAATTATTGTTAATTTAATGAGAAATATTAAAAATATTAATAACTTTGTGAGTACTTTGACGAAAATTTTAAATAATCAGTGTTTGTGCGCAACAGTGGTTGTGAATGGTGGCAACATGAAGTTGTTGAAGAAGCTTAGCTCGGAAAAGCAGGAAGAAGATCCTTATTAGTAGTTAAGCAGTAGATTAAGTGACAATATTAGTTAAGTGGGGAAGGATATTTGGGTGTCGAGGGGCACAGAATTTAGAGAGGGGGGCGATGTTGGACTGTTTGGAGGGACTATTTTGGTTTTGGAGTAAAGGAGATCATTAGGAGCATTGTGTAGAGGATTAGGATTTCGTATTTTGGGCGGAACGTTCGGATAAGGACAGGTTTTCTGGGACAGGATTTCGATATTGGGAAAGTAGTGGGAAACCGTAGTCAAGGATGGGACGGCATATGGATTTGTATATGGATGTTTGGCACTTTATGGTTACTTCGGAGTTACGGAAGGTTAAGGAACAGAAATGACAAGATCTGGATGTTATTTTGGATTTGAGTTGTTTCGAACGGGAATTGAAGTTGAGTTTAAGATCAAGAAGGACTGAATGAATATTTAACGTAACATGGGGAGACGAAGGGGATATGCGATGGTAGGGAATAAGGAGTTTGGTCTTGGATGGGTTAATTTTGAGGCGCCATTTTTTAAACCATAAAATGGTTGAGGATAAAAGGTTTTAAAGGTTAAGAATAAAGGATTGAAGGAAAAAAACGTGGGAAACCGATGTAGCGTCGAATATGAATATTTAAATTGAAATGTTGATTTATCTAATGTAATCAATTTGATTTATTTGCAAAGTGATAATTTCATTTAAAAATGTATAAAATTTGTATAAGACTTTGATATGTTGTTCTTTGCAAATGCAAACTGAAGAACTGGTTGTTGTATATAAATCATAACGAGTAGAAGAGCGTTTTGCATCAATGACATAGGAAGATATCGATAAATATCAATGTTGAATCTTTTATCGGATTGTCGTTCGTAAACGGTCGTTTGTGACAGGGCACCGGGCATAATGGTAGGTAAGCATTGGCAAGTCTGAAATACTGCTGCTATTCAATTCCCCGATGTATGGACATGCATTATTTATGAAGCTACGTAAAACTAAATACATTATGCACAAATTAACGAATTCATCGAATATTTTATATCTTTTTTTTTTAACAAAACGCGCACGCTTTTACACAGAACTCATTTCCATTTCACTGAACACAAACTAGATACATTTTTAATAAAATAATTGGTTATACAATATTATTATGTTTTTACTTTGTACTAGCTTTAATAACTTATATTTTATAAATAATGTATAACAAAAAATATTTTTTTAAGCATAGAAATACTTTGATATTCATTTAATAGAAATAATTTGGAAATCAATGGAATTATATACTTTTTAAACAAAATATGTAATCATTAATTTATTAATTGCTACACTTTAATATAAAAAAATAATCTAAAAACAAATAAAGGTTTATGTTAAACAGCAATAACTCGTATAGTGCGGCTTTGATCAGTACGGTTTGAATATTTTAAAACTAAATTTTAATGGACAAAATAAATTCTAAAAAAAAAGTGTATTTTTTATACTTAAATAATAGTCTTTCCTTTTTACAGTCTTTTAGTGCCCGGTTTTAAAGTCTTTGACTAGTCCGGTTACAAAGAGTGCGAAACCGATTACCCGTAATATGCGTAATACTGCTTTATTTATTATATTGTATTTTAAAGAATACTTTAATATAAAAAAATGAAAAGCAGAGAAGTAATATCTAAGAAAATGTGTATTTTTTTTATACGTAAATGATCGTTTTTCCTTTTTATAGTCAAGTGTCTTCGATTAGTCCGGTTTCAAACAATGCAAAAGTGATTACCCGCACTATGCAAGGTATTGTTTATACTAAAATATTGATTGTATAATTACAATATTTATAAATACTTAGAAATATTTAAAAAAATAATAAATTAAGTAAGTATTATTCAGTAAAAAATATTATATTAGTTATGTAATTCATAAATAGTTCATAAATATCTTTAAAAAAATAACATTAAGTCGGTGTACATATTACAATTACAAGTTTCTATATACAGCTAAAACTCGTTTAGTCCAGTTTTTTAAATTAATACTATTAGAATATCAAATTAGCCAATTTTCATTAATAACAGTGCAAAACATAAATTGAATGTAGTAAACTATTACACGTGTATCCAGGTGTTTTTCAATATTATAAATTAAATTAGTTTTATTCCTCATATCTTTTTGTGATTTAAAAGTTAACAAGTAGAAATTGGATATAAATTTAGTTTCAATTATTACATTTCCATTAATTTCTAACACACATATACTTATATAAAACGTTTCTTTTTATATAGTTATTAAGAAAGTTTCAATATGTCAAGTTTAATTAAAATTTCTGCAAAATTTTTATAATATTTGCTTATGATTTTTTTTTATCAAATTATAAACTATGTTTCATAAATATATAGAGAGAAGAAAACAGAGAATAAATAAAAAATAAAATATATATTTTCTGTATTTATTTTTATTATATACAGTAGAATTTGTGCGGTCCATTTTTATGCGGTTTATGAAATCCAACCAATTCCAACGGCGTTGGCACCATTGTAATGTTTTATATCAGTGTGCATATACACAGCCTGCTCAAAGCATTCTGTTAGTCGATATTGAACCAATTCATCACAAGAAGATTTGGATTAACATGAGTAGCAGTGAATTATGTATGTGCATTTTGAAAATTCCTCTATAAGTACAATGAGACATTAAATACTTTAAAACGTGTAATTTAATCATTTATTTGGTTTGGATGCACTTTCTCATGTATTTCGTAAATCTTTCACGTATTTTCTAAGTTTTTGTAATGTATTATACAAAGGTATTTGTTATATTTAAGAATTTATGAAAATGTCTAATTTTTTTTTTCAATTTAATTAATTATTTTCTTTTCAAATTTCTATAAAAGAAAAGACCCATTAAACTGTTGACATTGCATTTAATTCATTGAATTGTCCGATTTCATTATTCATTTTCTAGAAATGTTAGTTCCAAGTATCATTATAATATAATACAACTAAATAAAGCAATAAATTAACAATTATATTACAAAACGTAATAGACATTTACATTTGACAGACAAATAACGCTTTTATCTTGTATACATATGACACTCGTTACAATATGTGCACATATTATTATTTTTGGTTATTTTTAGTATTACGATTTCTTGAGTGTAGATCGAATCAAATGCAATGGGGCATGAACTGTATGAGAATAGCACAAACATATATTTATAGAAACCTATGAATCATTCGCGGATTTCTCTTATGGTGTTTCAATCATAATATTAACATCATTCTTTGTATATATAAGAAACTTTTCATCAAATGAAGAATTTTCTTACGTAATTTTAATACTGCTATATTTTTTGTTCCTAAATAAAATCGATATATTTTATTAAGATTTTTTCAATAAAGTTTTATGATAATGTATTTATAATGTATTGATTAAAAAATAAAAGGACTATTCGAGTTAATAAAAAATAATAATAAAATATAGTTTATTAAATCGTTTTATATTTGCTACTATAATTATCGATAATGTACTAAGCGAGTTATGAATATATTTATATGATGTAATATTACGTAATTTAATACAGAAACAAACAAAAAAATAAGTTTTTAAGTCTAACTATTTAAAATTTGGTACATTTTGTAATCATAAATATAGTTTATTGGAAAATGAATAAATTTTACATTATTTAATAAAAGAAACTCACTAAGCGAGTTATGACTATACATAAAAACTTGTATTTATATTAAATCAATACACAAAATTGTCTAATATTACATAATTTACTGAATGAAAAACGAAAAAACCAATATTTAGTTTACACATATGACCCATATTAAAAAAAAATAGAACAAATTATTGATTTTTCAAATAAATACATATTAATTATTATCATTTAATGAATTTAACATCATTTAAAACTGGTTTTATTGCACAAATAGTCTGAGAATTAGTTTCTTGTATATTTCACAAAACGTTGCTGTTTTCTTGTCGCCTATTCTTTTTTGATGTAGGAATCTGTTCATAAGTTGTTTTGCTTCAACAGAATTTTTTACCTTCATGATATTTGCAATCCTAGAATTCTTCTTTCACTATGGTGAGGATATACACTCGGTCCTCTTTTTATGCGGTTTTGAAGTTATGCGGTTTTTATTTCAAGAAGCATTTTTTTTTAAATAACTATTTTAGGCCATTTTGACACGTTTTGACACAAATTGGAAAACCATTTCATCGAAAAAGATGATAATTCTGAAGGAGCATTTAAGTTTCAACCCGAGCTTCAGAATTGCATTTCTGCATATCAGGAATTGTACAAAAAAATAGCAAATTCATCGCAAAGTTTAATCACTGATTATATTGTCAAAGAGAAAAAATCAACATGCGAAGTTGAAACTAATTTTATTGTGAAGAATCATTATCTTCAGGGCATAGATCTGATATGCAGACTATCTCTTCTAGTGATGAAAGTGATTTCGAACCAGTTCGTAAATTATTCCGAACACTCTCATATAGCGACGATAATTCTAAAGAAAAAAATGTGAAAAAAGATTAACTTTCATAAAAAATTTCGGTATTTTTTTTAGTAAAATTTGTCCGTATAAATTTAGAAGGAATATGTTAAGTATATATTTTCTGAAATTTAATAAACTTGTCTATGATTGTTAACGTTTTTATAAAATTATGATTAAACATTTCAGAAAGAATATAGTAAGACTAATTATTTTTCTGAAATTTAATAAACCCTTTTTTATGCGATTTTTGGTATATTGTAACTCATTGCTTTAGTTTTATCCGGTTTTAAAAAATTATGGAACGTGCGATTTATTTTCTACCGCATAAAAAAAGACCGCATAAAAAAATATAACTCTGCTGTTGACACCAGTGATATTTAATATACAATGAACTAACTGTTGGCATATTATTGGTACATGTATGATATTTTAAGAACGTATTTGCTATAGACGGGTCATTTTGACCCAAAACACACTACATACAATGTCTACAATAAAATACATATCTCTGGCTACGAATGCTTTGCTTCTGTGATAATAATGAACTATACGAATATTAAATTATTATATTAAATAATTTTAAGTGAGAATAATAAAAAAAATATAATTATATAAATTTAAATAATGTTAAAAATGTTCTAATTTTATATTGTTTAATAAAATAATGGACTCTAAACAAAAACTTGTACTTTAATAAATATCAAATTAAGGCAAATAAAGTGAAATATTTCATCACTAAGTAGAGAATAACAAAAATAGGTAATGTTAAATTCGGTAATTGAAATTTTATTATTAAATAAAACGGACTATACGAGTTACTGTTTCATATAAGTATTTATTTTCGAAAATAGATAACTTTAATATGATTACGTCATTTAATGGAGAAAACAAATAAAAATATATACATAATTGACAGGTTTATAAATGTAAAATTACTTTTGTTGTAATGCGTAATGGCAAACCAATTTTGCATTGGTGTAGATTTATGATTGTGGATCAGGCTTTAATCACTCGGATAGAATTGTGAGATTAATTAATATCCACGTTTCGGACTTGGTGATTTTATTCTCTCGCAGTGGACGCGAGGCCAGTTCTATTACATAAAGCTCCATATTAAAATTAATTGCGAGCCCCGTGTGATACGATAGATTATTTATTGCCTGCACGTTCTCTCGCGATTCCGAAAGAAAAGAAAAATAAAAAATAAGGAGAAGAAATGTGGAAGGAGGGGAAGGAATGGAAGGAAAAAAGAAAATAAGAGACGGAGCGAAAAACGGTGTCCACTTTTATATGCATTCATAATATAATAAACTTGTTAAGATTATATTTATTGAGCCCGGTATGGAAAATAAGAGGTATAAAGTTGGTTAGTGGCTCTGAGCGTATCTGCATGTTTGGATGAATGCCAGAGTCTGCGTGGCGTAATTAATCTGATGGGGTAAATGTTATGAACGTGGCAATGTCGACGTGTCATTGCCAGTTACACGCATGACGTATTCGGTCGTACCTTGCTTTATGTAATATGTAATGTTGCTCGGATCTTCGTATTTGCATGCTTTTGATTCATCAGATAAATGCTTTAATTGTACTCTTTGTTTCTTTTCATCTTTACTTTGTAGATATTAAATTCTTTGATTATCATCAACTAATACATTTTTATATTTGATACTGGTTAACTTTAATTATTAGACTTCAGAATTAAAAAGTTCAATGTTCGGTTATTAATAATTTATTATTTTTAATTTTTACTTTTCATCGTTACCTTCTAGATATTAATTAATCAACAAAAAAAATCATATTTACATACATTTTTTATATATGATACTGAATAACCTTTACAATTATAAAGTTGAATTTTCGGTTATTGATAATTATTTTTTTTAATAATTGATTGTTAAATATAACTACTTATGTTTTAATTTCGATGAAAGTATGCGTTAGATTTTTTTTTATATTATTATATTTTTCATTAAAACTGGACTAAGCGAGTTATTGGATTACTTATTAACAAAAATTATTATATTTAATAGATTTAAGAATCTAAAATCTAAAAACGGACTACGCGAGTTATTACATTATATAGTAACTTATACAGTATACTTCGCATAGTGCGGCTTCTATTAGTCCGCATTTAAAATAAATTGTTATTTCAGCAAAATAAAAAGAAATTATAAAAAAATACACATAATTATTTTTAATCATTTTTTTTTTCTTAATGCAGTCAAGTTTCTTTAATATTTTTTTACGCATTTAGTTCCTGTATTGGTTCAAAAAAAACTAATTTTATATTGTTGATTTAAAAAAAAACGGACTATGCGAATTATTGTATTATTTAGAAATATTATAATATGAGATCATTTAATAGAAAATAAGAGAGAAAAAAAACAATAAAATTAGCAAGTTTATTAATTGATACATTAAATCACATTAAGTTTTTTACTATTATTATTAATAAATAAGTAATTTATTTCGTTTATTACTGATTAAAAAACAGGACTGTGCAAGTTAGTATGATATATAGTAGTATATTAAAAATTAATAACTGTCATAGTGCAGCTTCGATTAGTCCGGCTTCACTATATCCGAGTTTGAAAACTTCTAAACAACCCACATTTTATTTGAGCAACAAATTAATTCTCAAAAAACTGTACACACAATATTTTTTAATCAGAAATGATCGTTTTTTTTTTTCATAATGGAGTCAAATATACCATCTTTTATTTTTTGAAAGCATTTAATTATTGTATTTGTTTTATTATTGTATAACTTATAATAATTCAAAATTTTATAGAAAATAAGCCAAATATAACAATAAAATCAAAAAGGTTAAGATTTTCTTTCAATAACTAAGTAATTTATTTATTTTATTAGTCGTTTAAAAAAACGGACTATGCAACTTATTGCGATATATAGTAGTTTCAATTAAAATACCTCCCATAGTGCTGCTTCGATCAGTTTGGATTCACTATATTTCGGTTTGAAAAATTCTAAAAAACTAAATTTTGAACAAAATTAAAATAAATTTTAAAATAAAATTTATACATACAAAAATATTGTTTACAAGGAATTTTATTTACTAAAAGTCCTTATTACCCCAAATTATTTATTTATATCCCATTTAGGGTTTTACCGAGTCCAGACATTGAGATTTGTTTGTATAGGACTCTTTTTGTGTATTTAGTTTCTCGATTAGTCCGCTTTCAAACAGTCCAGGATGTTGGAGGAACCGATTAGAAATACTAGATCAATGTAATTTTTCTCGCGCTGAGAGGAACTTATTTTATTGTAGATTGTATTTCGGATCAAATTTATCCATGTCATGGTTTCCCTTGCACCAAAACCCATACCCCATTTGGCGTTTACCGATCCCAGACATAGAGATTTGTTGGTATAAGAATATTTTTGTGTATTTAGTTCCTCGATTAGTCCGCTTTCAAACAGTCCAGGATGTTGGAGGTAACGATTAGAAATATTAGATAAATGTATTTTTTTTTATTATTTTGTTGAATTTTACTCATATCTAAAATAATGTAGTGTGTAAACGCCTTTTAATATTTTTATATGTAAATTTAAATTAATTATATCAGATTATATATAATAAATTTTATACGTATTTATAAAAGATATCCTTGTTTTAAAGTAAAGGAATTTCTTATAAGAGCAAAAAAAAGAAAAACTCATTTTGTATAGGTTTAGCGTGGAATGTGGAGACATTATTTGCTCTGCTATAAATAATGTGAGAAAATTCACAGACGAATGTGTGTTAATTTCCACCGGCCGCGGACGGTCAACCGCTGAAGAATGCGTTTGAACAATAAATAACTGGCAGTTATAACTTAGAAAACGTCATAAATGGCAAGACGAGTTTTACGTTCAGCGATTGGCCGCAACAAGAAGAAGATGAAGAGTAGAAGAAGAGGATGATGATCATCCTGATGATGATGAAGAAGAAGATGAGCGCCGACTCCTCTTCGCGTCATCGTTCTTTGCTTCGTGCATTTTCATCAAATGTCCATAAATCTTGAGGCCGGCAACGGCTCCAGCAAATAAAAAATCAAACAAAAAGTAGACACACAGAAATTAATAGTAGAAGGCATTAATAATGACATACGAGATGGTTACAAATTAAGTGTGGATGGGGAGGGAACACTTGTGGCTCTCCGGTAAAGATGAGATGACCATAAGAAACACATGGAGGGTAACGCGCGTAAGAACATGATGCACGATGCATACTTTTTCTTATTCTTAGGCTCCTTCGATTTAATACGTAATAAAGTGCCCCATTTCAATGCGATTCAATTTATATTTTAATTAAATTGTTAAATTATAAAACGAGTCATGCGCTCGAGGGGCAAAGGAGAAAAATATGTAAACTGGCTGTATGATGCCAGCGAATTGCTTTATAACATTCAACTATCAAACTCTTTGCTTATATTGAATATACTGACTACCCACCTAAACACATTCCTTTATAATCGAGGATGTTTTATAATACTTGAAAGTGTATGGAAACATATTATTATAACTATTGAGATATATTTTATATTAAATTGAAAATGATATTTCAAAGTATGATTAAAACATTAGAGGAGGTAACGGATCGATTATAACATACAACAAGAAATATAGGTGGATTCGCACTACACATTATTAATAA